ACACACACACACACACACACACACACACACACACACACACACACACACACACACACACCCTGGAGAGCCTCATGTTGGAAAACATGAGCAGGCAAAAGTCCAGTCAACCTAAATGTACTGAGAGTGTATGCTTAGGGAAGCTATATACCTACAGATACTAGGTCTTAAGAACGTACAATATCTAAGCAAATCCCACAGAAGTATTTCAAAGATGGGTTTACTACAAATCTCACTAGTAAACTTGGTTAAAACTTCAGAATCCAAAGTAGTGGTTACTAAAGTAACTCAGGCAATAGCATATTTGAAGACCTGGTGTTCTTTGAAGAATATTTACTAACTGTTTTTATGTTAGTAAGGTTAATTGTTACCACTAAAAATCTTAGAGAGCAGGGGAAGAGAGATGAAATGTAATGGCCAGTGTGCTAGATGTTCCTATTAAATAGGCAGCTAAGTGGCTAGAGACCTAAAATGACGTCAATGAAGAGTTGATACTTGATCTGAGGCTTACAGGACATCAGATCATAGACCTGAAGAAGGAAAGATTTCTATGTAGTATGTACAGAACCATGGACATAAAAGAAATCATAAGAGCTAGTCTGGTGAAGTCCCATAATGAATGCAAGATGAGGCTGTATGCGACATGAAGAAGCTGGAATATCAGCAGCTCACTTGACTCCATCACATCACAAAAGGCAATGATGGATTATAATAATTTAAACTGTACAAAGCAAACACAAGAACACAAAAAGCACAGCAGTCTAAGATGTTTAGCTGGAAAAATAGCAACACCCACTCTCAGGGACTCTGAAAATGCAGTAATTAGGGCACTATATATAACTAACATTACCAATGATCATCCCCAGTCAACCAGAAAATGTTAACTTATGTTCAATGAATTCTTTTTTAGAAGGCAGGAAAGCATGTAATACACTTTGGAAAAATCCATCAAAATAGGTAAAACAACAATCATGAATGCTTAGAACTGCATGCTTTGGTGAACAATCTCACAATCTCATTTGTGTATTTCCTCCAACACAAAAACAACAAAGCTCCAATATCCATTCTCATGGTTCCAACAGTCTAATTCTATGAAGTCTATCCCTTTACCATTAGTGGACAGAACAAAGGCCAAATCTGACAACTGTAGGTGTATGTTGGGCTTACGAAGTCCATGAAATTCATATGCAAATTCCATGTCTATGTGTATATACGTGGGATTCTCAGAAGAAAGGCACCATGATATCATCTGACTTAAAGGATGTTATAATCAGCACACTTTGGAATACTGGCTTGGCCTAGACAGTGCTTTGAGGAAGAAATAACTTGTTTACTCACAAAAATGACTTATACCTCATGTTTTATTTTATTGCACTATTATTATTATTCCTGGTTTTTGTTTGTTTGTTTGAGACAGAATCTCTCCATATGTAACCCTGGCTGTCCTAGAACTCACTATGCATAGACCAGGCTAGCTTCGAATCCTGTCTCTGCTAGGATTAAAGGAACACCACCATGCCTGGCTTACTAGTACTATTAATATAAACATAATGAACAACAATGCTATACCACAGGTGAGGATATTTATTTATTTGGTTTTTTGAGACAGGGTTTCTCCATGTAATAGTCCTGGCTGTCCTGGAACTCAGTTTGTAGACCAGGCTGGCCTCAAACTCACAGAGATCCTCCTGCCTCTGCCTCTCGAATGCTGGGATTAAAGCCCTATGCCACCACGCCCGGCAGGTGAATATAAAATTCAGTATAAGGCAGAATTCTGAAATATTTGAAGTCAACTTTAAAAACACTTTGGAAAGGTAAGCTTACTGATCTTTAGCTACATATTTATGTACTATAACAAACTATCTGGGTGCCTAAAATGCATACATTCTAAAAAATTTCTTACTAATATACTTGGATATATAATATATATATATATATGCATATTCATTCATTCTGGTTAAGTTGCTCATATGTGTGTGTATACAAAAATAATTCTTTTAGCTGATACAGCAGTACATACCAGTAGTGCCCGACATTTGGGAGGCTGATGCAAGACCCCACCTCTTTAAAAATCTCTCTCCCCAATCATTCTACTACTCACTAATCTCCAGTGAAGCACTCTATATTCTCTTAAAGTATCCTATGTCAGATGTTTATGACATCAATGTGGAATTTATAGGAGACGCTCTTAGTAAGTATTTACTGATCAGATGTGATGGGACTTCAACCCCCCCGAACACCTTGACATGCTGAATGTTTGTGGTTGTTAGCTACTCTGTTAAGCCTGTACCTTTCTGCTTTTATTGCTATGCTGTTTTACTTACCAAGTCCAGTTCTTTTATGTTATAGTTTTAGCACATCCCACACAACGTGATAAAATAAGCACTCCAGTTTAGTTGTGTCACCGTGAGAAACTCTGCACTGTTCACTGTGCAATGATTTACTTACCGCAGCACCAAGGACTAGAAGAGTAAAGCCACAATAAAGCACAAACACAACTCTACCTGGCTGTTTGTGGTAGGTGAGCTCTCTGCTTGTCAAGCAGAACCACCGTTTCTTGAAATTCTTTTTTCCAATACGGGTTCTTCCTTGAGCCCTTTTATACATCTCACTGCCAACATAACAGAGATAAAATAAACATTTAGTCGTAGAGATTAAAACTGTCCACCTGAAACAAAGAACTGACCCTTACTGTTAGAGGACATTGGTAGTCATGTATGATTATTAGTGTACATCAGTGACTTCTGCTGATGACTCATGTACTTTACTTAGGTCACACTGAGGGAATAGTCTTTAATTAATGTAGGGTAGTTTTAATTTTACTTTTAGGTATGGTGTTTAGCCCACATGATGTCTATGCACATGTGTGCAGTACCTGGGGAAGTCAGAAGAAGGCATCAGATCTCCCAGAAATGGAGTTACAGACAGTTGTGAGCTATTGTGTGGGTGCTAGGAATTGAACCCAGGTTCTCTACAAAAGCAGCCAATGCTCTTAATCACTGAGCCATCTCTCTAGCCCCTAAGTAATGTAGTTTTAAAACTGTGCTATACAGAATAAAAAGGGTCCAGGTAAGTCATTTTCATCCCATTAATGCCTAGTAATAACCAGCTGACCAGAGCTCCCTCTCAAGTGCAGAACCCTGGGACTGTGCAATCAGTGAGTGCTGCCCTATGACATGGAGCTGACAGGTAGAGACAGTGATTTACCTGAGTGAAGAAGCTTAGGAAATTCTGGAACAGAAATGAAAACTCAGGTTTCTTCACTCTCAGACCCATGTTTTGTACTTACTGTCTACAGTGAAATATAACTTTCATGTCTCATTTAATGAATTACCCTTCTTTCAGATGCACAGGCTCACTCGTACCACTGGACTCTTTAGTTCCCGTAGACGAAATTTCATCTAAGAACTAAATGGGGAGATGGGAAAGTATTACAGTATGTGAATAAATAAGGTATTTCATAAAAAATTGTCTCATCTTGCACGTCATTGATTATATTAGGAAATTCTTCATTATTAAAGAGTATATATAATGCAGGTTGAGAATCTCTTTTATACAAAATGCTCAGGGCCAAAGTGTTTTAGATTTAGGGTTCTGAAATATTTGCATATATGGTAAGATATCTTGGAGACTGGACTCATGTCTAAACAAAATTCATATACATAACCTAAAGGTAGTTTTTTTGTTTTTGTTTTTGTTTTTGAGACAGAGTTTCTCTGTAGAGCTTTGGAGCTCACTCTGTAGCCCAGGCTGGCCTCGAAATAACAGAGATCCACCTGCCTCTGCCTCCTGAGTGCTGGGATTAAAGGCATGTGCCACCACCACGAGCCTAACGGTAGTTTTATACAGTATTTTTACTAAACCCGCACTTTGTGACCTATCACATGAGGTCGTGTGGAATTTTCCATTGTGACAACATGTCCATTCAAGGAGTTTTGGATATTCCAGTATTTCAGATTTTAGAGCATCTTGGATTAAAGAGGCTCATTCTACAGTTATCTATAAAATAATATAGAAAGTTCTTAACTTACAAATGAAAGGTATTTTTAAAAGTTTATTCTTAACTTACAATTCTGAATGGATTTCCCTATAGAAATAACTCTGGGTTACTAGTTACTTCGTTTCTAGTCATTGACATTACAAATGTTCTTGAGCCACATTCTTATATTCTGCATAGGAAGTTTGTAAATATTCATTTGATTTCAGGTTGTCTCATTTGTCAAGGTCATCAGTTATATATAATAGAAATCAGCAAGTTTCCTATGAATAGCCAGCAAATGGTAGGCTTTGTTGGTTACACAAGACTTCTACTATGTTTTATTTCATAACTCTGTTTCTTATAAAAACAGACTGCAGGTCAAATTTGGCTCATTCCATAGTCTGGTGTTACCTGACCTATCAGAAAGGTTCATAGCCCTGCATGTAAAAATCTCTGGAACCAGCAATCTTCAGAATTCAGTTTTTCAGAACTTCAAATAATAATGGGAGCAGACTATATGAACTAGCTCTTTTGGTAATATGCAACAATCACACACATTAGTGTTTGTTTGTCACAATGCAAAATACTCTGTGTATTTGTCCTGACTGTGGGCCAGGCAGGAAAACTCTAACAACAAATCTAGAGACAGAAAGACACACAGACATGGGGACAAACACATGTGTGGGGACACACACACACTTTAAGATCTTAGGGCAAATTATCTTATGCTACCTCAGATCTACAGATATAAATGAGATCGTAAATGTACTACGGTGAGAATCTATCTGAATGTGAGAGATAGTAAATGTACTACGGTGAGAATCTATCTGAATGTGTGTAGGTGACTCAGAGGCAGATTAGAAACACACTAAAGGCTGGGCGGTGGTGGTGGCGCACGCCTTTAATCCGAACACTCAGGAGGCAGAGGCGGGCAGATCTCTGTGAGTTTGAGGCCAGCCTGGGCTACAGAGTGAGTTCCAGGAAAGGCGCAAAACTACACAGAGAAACCCTGTCTCGAAAAACAAAAACAAACAAATAAGCAAACAAAACAAAAACAAAAACCCCACACACTAAAGTCCTTGCACTCTTAAACGTACTTCCCCCTGGTATTATCAACTGGTAACTGGTATTATCAATTAGCACATTCTGATTATATAAGGAGCGGAGAACAGATATCACCATAGCCTAGGTTATTAGATGTAGAAAAATAACTCTAACACAAAAGCTAGCATATCATAATCTTGTTAAGTCTAACTCTACTGTCCCCCAAATGCTTCAACAATGTCCCCTAAATAAAAATGTTATTTTAAAAAATTTTCAAGAGCCTTCAATAATCGCTTAAAAAAGTTTTAGGTGAATTTACATTATTCTAGAGAAAAAAAGAAAAGTCTAGGCTCAGCACAGTGGTGCACAGCTTTAATCCCAGCACTTATGAGGTAGAGGCAAATAGATATCTCAGAGTTTGAGGCCAGCCTGGTCTATATAGTAAGTTCCAGGATAGTCAGAGCTATATAGTGAGACTCGGTCTTGAAAAAAAAAAAAACAAAACAAAAACCTATCTGGTACCAGAATTTTTCCTTATGGAGTTCCTGTGAAAGTATTTTAAAAGTCCAAACATATATTTTAGTAAAACATGTTCTTGGCCATCAACTGCAAATAATACTATAACAACTGAACAGGCTAAAGACTGTACTTGCTAATTTGGTTCACTGAGTTAGGATTGTGATAATGAAGACACTGTACTTTCTTCAAGTTTAGTTTAGATATATTAAATAATGTTTCTTTCTAAGTTTTCCAGATTTATAATACTGTATTTTATATGGATGATTAAGGAGTCAAGGGCTAAGAAATTAAAGGCTTAAAAATTACTCTCAGTTTCTAATCACATACCTTTTTACATGTTGAAGGTCTTATTTACCTTCTATATTACCATGCTATATACTTCAGGCATTTGTAAATTTTCATTTCTAGTTGCTTTCCTCCAATTGCTAACAAAAACATTCACTAAATCATTGAGAACACTACTTTTCATTTTTATTATTTTGTGTGGATGTATGTGGGTATATGTGTGTCACAACATGCATATGGAAGTGAGAGGACAAATTGTGGGAGTTGGGTCCCTCCTTCCAACCATGTGGCTCCCAGAGATCAACCTCAGGTCATCAGGCTCCACAACAGGTGCCTTTGCCTGCTGAGTCATCTTGCTGGCCCATTTTGTCTCATTATGGCAACTGAGCACCCACCCACCCATTCCACTCCACAACAAGTACTGTTAGGCTTGACTCCTAGACCAAAGGTCTCAACAAGAGGTAATTCTGTCCTCTGGAGGACATCTAGCAATAGCTAAAAGTATTTCTGGTCTTCAAAACTGGGGATATGTTACTGGTATTTAATTCAGGGATGTTGCTAAATATCCTACAATGTAAAGGCTAGCTCTTAAAATCAAGAACTACCCAGCCCCAAATGTTAATAGTGCTGCAGTTGAGAAACCTCCCCTAGAAATCTGTATTTGTATAGCTACAACAACAATGGCAACAGCAGACATTGTTAAGACTTGCTTATCTCACAGCTTTAAAGATAGACTTCTTGATTGACAGTTTAAACATATATTAAATTGGAGACTGGAAGAAATGAGATGTTAATTTATTTATGCTAGATAACAAGAAAGTTTCCTGTTTCCAAAATAAAACAACCATACCTTTTTCACGTCTGTAAAATATCTCTCCTCTTGAAACATTTTGAGAAATTCACACATGACTGATTTTTTGGACCGAGACTATGAAAAAACAAACATAGGATTTGTATATGTTAAGTACACACAGCTTCTTAACTGTTAGTTGTGAGCCCACCAGGGGTCACGACATGTGTCAGCAGAGTTTCTGAAAGCACAGCAGTAAGAACTAATTCAAAACCTAGCGTGCCATGACTCCGAGCTGGTTTCGGCAGTGTCCCCCATGCTGCACGGTACTGCGTCACTACAGCTTTACTTCTGCTCACGCCACGGTCATGCTTTGCACCATGCACGCTAACACATCACACACCACTAACCACTGCTGTCTGGAGACCTCAGCACACAGCTCTGGGCTACTGTAGATCAGGAACTGAGCTATTTTTACTAGATAAGAAGGCTTTTGCTCTAACAGAAATATAACGGTTTAACTACAGAAAAAAAAGACTCAAAATCTTTTCCCACTTCATCAGTCAGCCTGTATTAAATTAGTAGTTTTGGATTTTGTTATATTAGAATGCTTAACTGCTTAAGTTGCTGACTTAAGTTTCACTAAACAAACAAACTACAAATAAATTCCAAAACCAAACAAAATTCCAACAAACATTAAGTAAATTCTGGCTTGAGATAAGGGCAGAATTTCCAACAACTTTTAAAATGGTCTTAAATATACTTCTGCCAGTGTGTTTATGTAACACGCTTTTTTTTTTCTTTAAATGTATGAAAGTTCTATCTGTATGTATGAATTTACGCCAGAAGAGGGCATCAGATCTCATTACAGATGGTTGTGAGCCACCATGTGGTTGCTGGGAATTGAACTCAGGATCTCTGAAAGAGCAGCCAGTGCTCTTGACTGCTGAGCCATCTTTCTAGCTTCCTATAATATACTTCTGTACTATATGTTTATGCAAACTGAATGATCATAAAATCAAAATATGATCAACTTTGAAAAATTATATCCTACAGTATCACATACTCAACTAATATTTATTTACAGGAAAATAAACAAGTATATTTATCTCATTAGCATGTAAATATGTTTTTTGTCTTTAATAAATGGTAAGATTTTATATATATTAAGAATTGGTCTAAAATATTTTTGACCAATATACAATATAAATACGTATCAAAACACATTGTATATATAAATTTGCATAATTATTATATGACAAAAAATGAAAATTTGATACAGATTTTGAAAATGTACTTTTAAGTGAGTGAACAGGGTTTAATTAGCATACAAAGTAAAAAGCCATCATTATTCAAAGGTCTGAAAGGACAAGTAAGAAATGGAAATCCACTTGACAAGAGCTAACTTTAGTGACCAAACAGTCCACACATAGTCAGGTGGCATGACAGCCATCTCCTTTGGGCCGGGGTGGGGGTGGGGGTGGGGGTGGGGTAGCCTGGTGTAGGCTCCAGTGCTGTAAATTGGATTCAACTCTATATGTGTATGTAACTCAGATTCAACTCCCATTAAAAAAAAAGAGAATTTTCTATTAGGAAAACATGTTTTAAATAGCAACCACGTTGCTCTCCTCCATCTTGGCTAATGACCTCATCAAGATGTAAGCAGCCACCTGGCTGGCAACCATCTTTACTAAGGTTAAAGAGAACATGCCACGTGACTTAACCACCTGATCTTAAGACCATGTGGAGCCAGGTGGTGGTGGTAGCGGCGAACAGTACTCGGTGTTGGGATTCCTGGCCACTCCACTCCCCCAGCTGCATGACAGCACATGCACAGTTCAGTAGCCAAGTAAGGGGCCTCACGTCCTATGAAATCCGTGCACTTCGTGATCGTGTAATTTGCGCTGAGCATGATCACGTAATCTGCACATGCATGCGTTGCTCCGTAAGCCCATATGTGCATGTGCAGGGGAATCCCTAAGAAGTGGGACACCGACACCTCCCCTCCCTCTTCTCCTTCTCCTCCCCACACTCTCTCTGCACGTGTCTTCCACAGGCCTGCTCATGCTCTCTTCTGTTCCTCCCTTCTAATAAAACTCTGCTCTGATAATGGGTTTTGTTGCGCCTTGTGACCTTTCCTTGCAGAGTAAAAGCACAGCATTAAAATCAAATTCAGTGCTGTGCAAAGCAGGCTCTCCCAGCGTTCTGCATTCGGGACCCTGTCCTGAGGTTTCTTGGATCAACGGCTGCCCACTTTTCATTGCCCAGCTGCTGGGACTGCTACACATAACACCGGCTGCCCAGATTGGAGTTTTCCCTTTCCAATCCCTCGCTATTTCCCACAACTATAGCCTGAGATATATTCCTCATGTTGGATCCCTGGGCTGCATACACCCCAACTCATTCTCTCTTAATGCAGCACTGAATGCTGTCAGAACCCCGGGTACAGATGCACCCCGCCCCTTGTGCTTGCCCTCTCTTGATGAAGGGTGGGGTAACTTGTGCCGGTCCACATATCCTTCCCTACTCTTGGGGATACCTGAGATAGGAGTCTTGGATCCTGTTTGTTATTTTAATTTTTTATGTTTTTCTCGGCTTCCTCCTCTTGGTCCCACTCCTCCTGAGAGATGCCTTAAATATCCCTAGATACCAGTAAATATGGCCCATTAATGGCTGCTTAGACCCCAATATTTCCCAGGAATTATCTAACTTCTGCCAACGCACAGGCAAATGAAAAGAGTTACCTCTTTATTCTCATGTTTTTACCTAAGCTCTGAACCCTCCCTTTCTGATTCTTTCTCTCCTGTCCACGTGCAAACTGAACCTGAGGAATCTCTGACTCCAAAGAATGTCCGCCTATCTGACCTCTGCTCTGCTCTCCAGTACTGGGCAGGCTGCTCCAGCCCACTCTGGCTCCCACCTCCACTCTCACTGTCACCCATTCTCAAGCTGCCCTGAATATCATGGATAGGTCTGGAAGCAGGCTAGGACTCATGCAAATGCAGTTAGGATCAGGACTCACATTGGGATCATAATAATCTGGATAGCTCTCTAGCCAGGTATCAGTTTACAGCCTGCCTCCTGGCAGGTCTCCTAAAGCTGTCCTCAAACCAGCAAACTATCAAAAGCTAAAAAAAGAAAGAAAAAGAAAAAAGGTAATTCAAGATACAGAATAAAAAAATCCACCTCATGTCTCCCAGAGCTTCCTGAAATCAGGGCTAACTTAAGCATCTGGAGAGAAGGCCCCTGACCCCACAGGCAGAAGTTTCAGCTGTGGCATTTAAGGTACCATGGGAGAGATGAGAAAGCCCATGAACAGAATTGCCAAATGCTGGCACACGCTATTCGAGCGGCTGCATAAAGGCTTCCAGGTCCCTGTTTTAAATGTGTGGTAGAGAAGGCCACGTGGGCTTATGCATGCCCTGCCCCACTCGGGCCATCAACTGAGCCTTGTCCGAAGTGCCACCGAGAGGGGATACTGGTCAGCTGACTACCCTCATGTACCTTGTGGCATGGGGACATCAAAGACCTCCAGCAGACCTCCTAGGCTTGGCCATGGGCTCATAGGGAACCCAGGATACAGCATGGGCCGATCCTTTTCCTTCCTTTTGGACACTGAGCCACTTACTCAGTCCTGAGGGAGTTTTGGGGTCGCACCTCTCCTTGTTTCCCTATTGTTGGGGTAGGGGAACAGCCTTACCCACCTCACCAGACCCCCTCCACTTAATTGTACTTTCAGGGGTACCTAATGGGAAGAGATTCCAGCTAAGGTAGGAGCTTTCATTTCATTGCTCCCTCCATGTGCCTCACTCCAGACCGGTCAGCAGTGCTTCTCATGCACAGGGACACAGACAGGGCCCTGATCTCTCTCTCAAGTTCCAGAGGACACCAGGATCCACTGCCTTGTCCCCAATTCCAGAAGAATGAGGTCTCACCCCACAAGCTTTTCTCTTCCTGGTTCCCTCTTCTAATTAACTACTCAGCTAATTGTTACAGGATCACCAGAGAGCTGGAGTCCAAGGACCATTAAGTATATACCCAGGTGGTGAGGAACAGTAACAGTTCAAAGGTATTTACACCTCCAGACTCAAGTGTATGGGCTCTGCAAAAAACAGACTTTAATATAACAATCTATTCCTGTTAGCCCTCAGCAATTGATCACCCGTGTCTCCTGGATGCTAAACAATAAAGGAAATAAGTGCCTTAAAATAATCTGTCTCTGATAAGGCTTATTTCAGGTAAAAATTAAAAGCATGTTCCAAATATCTCCCCCACCTCACTAACACTAACCAATATAAGCAGAGTAATAAACACTACAATGTCATGGTCACCAGCCCAAGACTTTAAATTTCCCATGGCTGCTTCTAAGTATGTTTAAATTTTTTTCTAAGCTCCAGAAACCAGCTTGAATCCATCTGGACTCATATGCTTAGCATCTGCTTCAGATAAGTACAACCCAAATTTTCCAGGTCTCAGAACCCCACCAAAGGAAAAAAAAAATAAGAAAAAATAATTCTTTTTTTAAAGCTTTTCTCTGCCTCACCAGCACTCTCTCAGACTCAAGCAGCCGGAGTCCCAAGCCAGGAAGATGGACAGCTCCAAGGCAACAGATGGCAGCCCACCATCCCAAGACACCTGGCTACCTTGGAAGCTCCCTTCCTTACCACCCCCCCTTCCCCCGGGGTTAACTGACACCCACCGAGTCAGCTGGAAGCAGTTTTGGGAGACACAGTGCCCCTATTCCTGTTCATCTGCCTTTTTTATAATAAGCAAAAAGTCTGGAATGTTGGGATTCCTGGCCATTCCCCCAGCTGCATGACCACACGAGTTCAGTAGCCAAGCAAAGGGCCTTAGGTCCTACGTAATCTGTTCACTGAATGATTGCGTGATTTGCGCTCAGCGTGATCACGTAATCTGCACATTCGTGGAGTAGCTCCGTAAGCCCCTATGTGCATGTGCAGGGGAATCCATAAGAAGTGGGACACAGACACCTCCCCTCCCTCTTCTCCCTCTCCTCCCCACACTCTCTCTGCACGTGTCTTCCACAGGCCTGGTCATGCTCTCTTCTGTTCCTCCCTTCTAATAAAACTCTGCTCTGATAATGGGTTTTGTTGTGCCTTGTGACCTTTCCTTGCAGA